CCTAAAGTGAAATTTACACACACACACACACACACACACACACGCAAAAGAGAGACTCCCAAAAGTCACTTTAGTGGCCCCGTACAATTCACTTGTGGCAAAAAAATAATAATTTTGGACCCTACACACAACACAAAACCTTTCAAACAGGGACAATATAAATAATCCTTTTGGCTATTAGCTAATTTAACAGTTATTTTTACGACAATATATTTACCTGGGCACATTTCCTCAAGTGAATGCATGCAAACAATGTCTGATCAGACCTGTCTGAGTACTATATAATTCCCAGTTACAAAAAGATACACAATAAGGACTTTTAGTGTATTTATGAGACTTCAGAAAAGCTTATTCTGGGGTTATTCTGAGGAGAGGTGTAACATGTCCAGTTTAAAATCAATAGTTGCAACCTTTCAAATTGACACTCAATAGCTCAGGAAGATAAACAGGAAATAGTGAAGCACAGCTAATGTGGAGATCAATTCATAATCATGACCTCCTAATATGTGCAGTGGTTCGAGGGACATGGGGGGAGGAAAATACAATTAGCAATTAAAATAAAATTAGCAACTAAAATGCTTGTCCTACTCTTACTGCTCTCCATCTGTAATTATTAGAACCTACAAAGTAGAAGATAAAAAAGCTGTGCTTGCAAGAGGAAAAGACAAGTGAATACACTGAAGACAACATTATTAAAGGAAACATATGAGAGGACACGACTGTACATTTTCTAGTGACATCATTATTGTGAACTCACCTCAATTGTGAACTGCTTTCTCTTGAGTTTGAAGGCCAAGTCCTTTGTATCAGGGACCTCACAAGACAAACAGTTCAGACGCGGCAACTGACGAACATGCAGGAGACCTGAACAAACACCGAAGACATTAAAGGGAATCATATCACTACTAAGTCATACTGTAGGGATATATTGTTCAGTATAAACTTCAAATGTTTGTTCAAAAGTTTGGGGTTGGTAAGTTTTTATTTTTATTTTTTATGTCTCTTCTGCTCACTAAGACTGAATTGAGCTGATTGAAAATATATTAAAATTTTGAAATATTATTACAATTCAAAATAACTGTTTTCTATTTGAATATATTTTAAAATGTAATTTATTTCTGTGATGTAAAGCTGAATTTTCAGCATCATTACTCCAGTCTTCAGTCTCACATGATCCTTCAGAAATCATTCTAATATACTGATTTGCTGCTCAAGAAACATTTCTTATTAACAATGTTGAAAACAGACATGCTGCTTAATATTTTTGTTGAAACCACAATATATTATTTTCTTTGGTGAACAGAAAATAGAAATCTTTTGTAACATTATAAATGTCTTTACTATAACGTTTGACCTAATTAATGCATCCTTGCCGATTTAAAGTTAAAATTTCTTTCAAAAAAGGAAAACACATTTACAGGTTGTGAGCAACACGTTTTTGTAGGTGCAACTTGTGTGAATGGGTTTCTAACACTGCAACACTATATTTCAAACATACGTTTTAATAGAGCTTTTTTTTTTTGACTGAAATTGCATTTAAAATCCATTTGTCTCTCAAATCTGAGGCATGACATTTTAATGAGCATGATGTTTCTGACTATATTCACAATCTTATGCAGGCTAATAAACATGCTCTCTAGCAAATATTTTTCCCAGGTTTGTTATGCCTATTACCAATTTGAACAGACTCTGGTTTTCATTGTCTGCTTGAGTTTTACTGTGGACACATGTAGCTATCACCTTTCACACTGGCCACTACAGCATTGTATCAACCCTTATTTTATTATCTGCACCAATGGGCAGAAACCAAAACATACGAGAGAAGAAATGCAGCAGAGGGAGGGGAGAAATAGGTTGGTGGGAGGGAGAGAAAGCAAGAGAGGTGAGTGGAGGATGGGGGTAAAACAAGGTCAGTCGGCACAGGGGCATGTTGGGAAGAGAGAAAGCTTTTTCGCCCTCTTTCTCTCTTTAATTCCTAGCCCAGTTTTTTTTCTCCCAGTTATGCGGCCAGTAGAAATATGACATTAAAAGGAAGCGCTGAAGACCAGGATGAGGGGGGTGAGAGGATGGAAAGAGCATGTGTGTGTGTGTGTGTGTGTGTGTGTGTGTAAAGGCTCCGCTTGTAAAGGGACCTGTGCGCTAGGTTGATTCCGCTCGAGTTGATTCGCTGTGACAGGACTCCCAACATGCTTTGTGCAGTGGACGCACCACAGAAAAGAAAGAGTGGCCTCGTGTACGTCTTCACATTCACTATTGTCTAGAAGACCTTATGGCAAAGCATTCATTCATGAAACAAGGTAAAAATCAATACCAAGAGCTAACAATAACTCTCCGAACACCTAATTTTTTTCAAACACAAAAAAGTAAGTATACATACGTTGCTGAGATGTGCCCATAATCTGAAAAGCATTGCATTATATTTGTGCACATCTTATCCATTTATAAACATCTTTAAAACAGATAATTCACATACAACTGAGATAGCATTAATATCATAATGTTAACAACTGAGATAACATTAATAACTTCTTATTTCTTTGCAAGCATCTGATAAATCTTAAAAAGAGCTAATTCACATGTAAATGAAATCATTAGCATCTTTTGTTAAAAAATCTTACTAACATCTCAAACTTCCTAAAATGAACTAATTACTGAAATCTAAATTATTAATTTGTTCATAAACATCTGAGAAAAACCGCTGAATGTTGTTCATGTTGTAACATCCACCAACAAATGTTTTAGCAAATGTATTGATGAAAAATACACTGAAATAATTGTATTGTTTTGTCAAAGAACTAACTAAACAAAATAAAACTAAATTAATAACATGACCTAACTATTTTTTAGCAATATTATAAATAATAAAACAAAATAAACAAGACTTTGACACATGTAACTGCGACCTGAAATTGAAAATAAGTTAAAATAAAAAATGAATTAGCTGAAAAAAAAGCAACTGACAGTTTTAAAATACACATTTTAAATAAAACACATACATTAATAAATAAATAAATAAAACAAAAACAAAAACTCATGGAATTGAAATCATTAGCATCTAATTTGTTCATAAACATCTGATAATCTTATAAATAAAGAAATTATTACATGAACATAATTAAAATGATAAAATAACAAATATTAAAATGACAAAATAATGTAATAAATACATAAAAATAAAACAGAAGACAAGAGAAGATAAATAAAACAGATTTTAAGAAATGAATGACATTAACACATAAATAACATTATAAAATAACATAATACATATTAAAATAATGACACCATAAAATATAATAATACATAAATAACTAGAAAAATAAATAAAACTCATTAGCATTTAATTTGTTCATAAACAACTGATAAGCATCTAAATAAATAAATGAATTAATTTGGAATCATCTGAGGTCATTAGTGTTTGTAAACCACACCCCCTTTGGCTATTACGTACACACAGAGCAAATGAGTGCAAGAAAGAAACGGGGCAGGGGGTGGAAACCAGGAGAGAGAACTGTAAACAAACTGACCTTTACAGAAAGACGGACACAAAAGAGATGAAAAGATAAAGCATGCAACATGAAGAGATGAAAACAAGGAAGAATATAAAGAGGCAGAATGAGAGGAAAAAGAACAGAACCGAAAGAGCGTGAGCCCAAAGATTTTCCTCATCTGCAGTCTGGCCACTGAGAGGTTTTAGTCAGTATGAAAATATTGATTCTGCAACTCTGTGGCCCCTGAGGGCTGTGCTGGGTGCTTGTGATGGGGTGGAGGGGATCTGTGTGTGTGTGTGTGTGTGTGTGTGTGTGTGTGTGTGTGAGAGAGAGAGAGAGAGAGAGAGAGAGAGAGAGTCAGAAAGATAGGATGATGCAAAAGGCATGAAAAAGATGAGGGACCAATGAAACATCTTTTTAAAAAAAATGTTCTGAAGAAAATGTGAGCAGTGTTTGTCTGTGTAAAATGCTCTGCCATGATTCTAGACTGTTGAGGATGGTTGCCAGGGTGTTGCTATGCTGAGCAGTGTTATTTATGTATTATTTATATACTATTATACTATTATTAACTTTTATTTTCTGTATATATTCAGTTTTCATGTTAGATTAAGCTTTAGTAATTTTGTTACATGCTTTTGACCTTTTTATCATAATTTTTTTAATATTAGCTTTAATAATATTTAGCTTTAATTTTAGTACTTCAACATAAACTTATTTTACTTAGTTGCCAAGGGAATATTTCTAATTTTTATATTTTTTAAATGTACGTTTTACTGAATATTTAAGTTTGTATATATATGTTTAAGTTTCATCTAATATTTATATTCTTTTATATTTATATTTTTATATAATACTTTATATTTTATTTCAGCTTTATTTCAAATAACAAATTTAGTTTTAGTTAACAATTACAGCACTGGTATTTTAGTATCACTGATATTATAGTTTTTGTTAATATTTTGAATTAGATTTTGTTAGTATTTTCTGTTTTCACTTTAATTTCATTTAAAGTTTTAGTAATTTTGTTGTGTGTTTTTGTCATTTAGATTAGTTTTTGTTTATTTAATATATCTATGTAGTATTTATTTATAATATTTCTATTATAACATATAGAATATATCGTTTTTAATATTGTTTTATTTGTTGTTGATATATATATATATATATATATATATATATATACAGTATCTCACAGAAGTGAGTAGACCCCACAC